AGCAGTTTCCCAAGAGAAACTCTGGTGTCTGCAGATGAAAATTTCCAGAGGAATAAAGATCACTTCTGCTAGTGCTTTTCAAAGGAAAAACTTACTGAGCTACTTGATTTGAAGTCAATTTGGTCTGAATATGTTGGGTTTGAATCAAACACTTGTAACAATGCAATAAACCAGTGATCTGCAGTTTCCTCTCAGTGAGATATTTCCGGAGCAGGGAAGGGTGTGAATACAGCCCTGGATCACATTCAGGGCTCCACACTGGCTCCCTGGGAGGCTTCCCATTCCCACCAGGCAGCTAATGTTTTCTCCTGAAGGTTTTACACACAGACAGGAGGTGTGTGTGTCCTGCAGGGAATGACCTAGGGGTAGGGGGAAATGGGGTGAAGACATGTGGGTCCACACTGAATCATGCAATCCCAGACTGGTTTGGGTTGGAAGAACCTTAAAGCTCATCTCATTCCACTCCCTGCCATAGGCAGGGACACCTTCCACCAGCCCAGGCTGCACCAAGCCCTCTCCAATCTGCCTTGAACACTTCCAGGGATGGAGCAGCCACAGCTGCTCTGGGAAACCTACTCCAGTGCCACCTATTCCAATGCTCAAATCAGCCCAAAGCTGTCACAGACAGGGTCAACTGCCATTTGGACTTAAAATCCTGAAAGGAAAGATATGTTAGACCAGATCTGCAGGCATTGGCAGGACTTTTTCTCAACAGAAAGGTTAGAGAAGGTGTAATGGCCATAAACTAAGCCACAACAAGTTCCACCTTCTTTGCATTGAAGGTGGCAGAGCACTGGAACAGGCTGCCCAGGGAGGGTGAGGAGTCTCCCTCTCTGGAGACATTCCAAACCCACCTGGATGTGTTCCTGTGTCACCTGCCCTAGGTGACTCTGCTTTGGCAGGGAGTTGGTCTCAATGATTTTCAGAGGTCCCTTCCAACCCTAACTAATCTGTGATTCCAGGTATCCACAGCATTCCTGAGATAAAAAGGTCTCAGGACTTCACTTCCGAAATCCTGGCTTGTGCATGTGCTGGGACTACCACAGCCCTCCCATGACCAGCAGAAGGCACAAACCCACCAAATTTGACAGCTCAGTGGAGAACATTCCTTTACTTCTGCATTCTTTCCAACAGCAACCTGTATTTGGCCCTTTCAGGGCCATGTGCTCCACCAGAACTGGGACCACCTGCGCTCAGGACCTCCAAAAACTACAACTCACACGTTGAAGAGGCTGTGGAACAAACACCTCTTGTGCTGGAGCCTCCACCAGCCTCTCCTGTTAGCTCTCTGGCTGCAGATAACCATATTGCACAGGGTTGAAACTCTGTGGAGTGATTTATTACACACAATTAGACATGATGACTAGCAGTAGCTTTTTTGTGACACTCCCTGAAGGTTGGAATTTTCTCTCATTTAAAATAAATGAAGCAACTCACAGGCATTGGAATGTACTTTTGTTTTGGATCATATCAGATCCAAAGGCAAATTTGTGACCTTATGGGTCAGAACATTACTCAGAAAGCCTCAAGATGAGTAGGAGGAGGAGACTGTGGCTCAAGGCTTGAGCAAAGGCAGTGTCAGCCCAGCCCTGCGGGTTTCCCTCACAGCCACACTAAATACATTAGTGCTTATTGCTGATGATTTGTGGGCAACAAACTGCAGTACAAGAGCTTCCACCACTCTCCCAGCAGCACAAGGGATGTGTCTGTCCAGACCATGGTGACAGGAACTCACACAACACTGATCACCAAATCCCCCAGACCCACCATCTCCATCCAGAGAGGACCAGCCTGAGACAGCAGAAGGTTCCTGGCAGGTACAGAGCTGCTGGCAAGGCCAGGGATGGAGCACGTGCTGCAAGAAGCAGGCCACGAGGGGGAGAGACCTCTCAGGGTGACATGGTTTGAAAGAGCCATGAATCATAGTATTGCAGTATGTTAAGGGGTTGGAGTGGAGCTTAGAGATCATCCAGCCCCAACCCCCTGCCCTGGGCAGGGACACCTCCCACCAGAGCAGGTTGCTCAAGGCTTTAGCCAACCTGGCTGTGAACACTGCCAGGGTTGGGGCAGCCACAGCCTCCCTGGGCAACCTGGGACAGTGTCTCACCACCCTCACAGCAAAAATCTCTGCCTAGAATCTAATCAAAATTTCCCTCTTTCAGTTTCTCCCCATTCCTCCTTGTTCTGTCACTGCAGTTCCTAACACAGAGTCCCTCTTGAGTCTACAAAGAATCCATCCTTCCCTTACGCATCCTTATCCATCCTTATCCTTCCTAGCTGCCACAAGCAGTCACAGAGTGGGCAGCAGGACAGCCACATCTGCCATCAGGACTCAGCTGGCACCCCAAGGGTGCCAGGAGTGTACCAGCACCAGGCACTGCCAGGAGATCCCTCCCAAGCCTCCCTGCACCCCAACTCCTGGCAGCCTGAGCATGTTCCCACAGCAGAGCCAGCCCCTCTCCATGGGAATCCATCCCTGCAGAGGGAAACAGTCTTGTTCCAGAGTCAGGAAGGAGGCTGAGCCTTGCACCAGGGCAAAAGAAGGTGCCACAGCCAGGAGTGTGGTACCCAGTGGACACCACATCCATGAGGCAATGTGGAGAGCCATGCTGGGATGGCCCAGAGACTCTCCCCAGCCCCATGTGTGCTGCATCCTGAGAGTGCCACTTCCCTGGGCCCAGCTCCAGCTTTCCTCTGACAGCAGGACATGCCTCAAACCCAGCCCACTGCAAAAATAACATTACCAGCACAAACCCACACTCCCATCAGCCCAGCATGGCACCCAAGCCCCCCCTCA